CGTAAAAGGTGATTAAAAGGGGACACGAATTGGCAACAGCATGAAGTGGTCTCGAGCCACTTCAAGATGGCGAGGGAACCGGCGAAGGTTTATCCTTCTCGGAGGCGTGCTCACGCGCAGTACCGAGGGACACCGGTGGGTTCCGTAGGAGATCCCGGAGTCCCTCCAAAGGTACAGAACGTGACCACTGGTTTTGGTGGATAAGGTATTCATATCCAATTATATAAACAAATACGTGAAATATAAAAAAAATAATTACATTCTAATTTATTTATATTCTATTATAGTTATATATTTGTTAGATACTAGTTTATTGTTTAGCGAACTGTCTCATATAACCCAATCAGATACCTTTATAGCAAGAGCAAATTTAACCCAGGCATTAACGATAGCGACTACTAATCCTCTAAAATATACTTTATGGCAGTTTCATTCACCCGATTCCATTTATAACCAAAGTTTATCCGTATTATATAAATTATTATAAAGCTGCTCCAATTAAGGACCGTACGAAAGTAAAATTCAAAAATTAGAAATTTATATTACTGTCTTTTATGTTGAATTGTTGGATACATGATTAATTATTAGAGTATTGTACTGGTATTTCTATATGTTTTTAGAAGAAAATTTGTCAAGATAATTTTATTTAGTTGTACTTGTAACTTGCTATTCTATTTAATTGTACTGACCCATGTTTTAAATGTCCAGAATTAACGTAATAATTGTCGCACGTACGACAGAATAAACCTACTTGGAATAAAAAACAGTCATCAACAAAAACAAATTCAAATCCCAAAATATTACAAAGTTATAATTATGATAGCCGTTCTCGCAGAGGCTCTGAAACTGATGTTGTGCAGTGATTAAATATTAATGATGTTATCTGATTCGGTCACCATGACACGTTTCACGATGTAATTATCGATTATTCCACCGAAGATTTAATTAATATTTGCATACTGTTGATAGAATGGTCGGATGATGGTGCGCGCAATAAATAACAGATACTTTGTTGAAAAACCTTGTTATTTGTAATTATTTAAGGGATAATACAATACTCCTAAACAATAAATTTATGTGTGTGTAATTACGTGTTGTCATTTGTAAGGATGATGGTTGGTGAAAAAAGTTTGATCAAAGATTCAGTAGTTCTAAAACATTTTTAAAAATATAAGCTTCTCACAATTTTAATAGCTTTACATAAAATTTATATTCGCTTCATAACGTTGAAAACATTAATTGAAAAAATTAATTACAAATTATTTTTAGAACGCCCTCTCGGCTCCTCGCTGAAGTGTAGGTTTCAGTTTTTGGTATTAATTAAAAAATATTTATCTACACATATTGCAAGTGAAAGCAATTTTCACTTCGAAATAATGCAAAAAAAATTTGTAAAGGAATGTTAAATTTCGTAACAGGGGCGGTAGGTAGATCGAAGCCTTAAAAGTATATCGAATGGCGGGAAAAGTAATTGTCAGGAAGTGACATAAATTGTTGTAGAAATTGCTCAAAAGCCCATGAAGTTTTCACGAGCCACTGCCGCTTAACCTTTTGACACGCGAAGCATGCCAATAGTTCGTGTTTAACGCAATTAACGGAAGTATATATTTTTAGCAGTCACCATGGTCTTGTATTTTAAAGTTATACATAACGTAATTGGAAAAGAATTTACATGATTTCACTTTCACAGTCAGTATTTATAGATTTCGATTTATAGAAAATGTTTACATAATTGGTATAACATTGTATTATAAGATTTTTAAGTCAATTAAATTACTTTGACAAACGCGTTAAAAGTCATTTATGTACCTAAATAAATAATGGTTTAGAAACTTCAAAAACATGCATTTTAAAATAGCCGAACTAAATGGTATAAATAATTTTGAACTAATTTAAATTAAGGATAGTGTGATTAGAAAAAAATATTTTTAGTGTAGAAAAGCGTGGGGTGCTTGGAGTCAATTGTCATAATATTTTTACCTTTATCTTAATACAGATACATGTAAAAGTAGAGTTAATGGAGAAATATCTTTAAAGCACCCTTCGCTCTATTACAATAAAATATTATTTTTGTTAATCACACTATTCTTAATTTATTAAAAATTATTTTATACTTTTGAGTTCGTTTAGTAGTAACGCTATAAAAAAAAGTAAAAAAATTATTTAATAAATTTGTAGTAACGTACTTTTTGAGATAAAATGAATGTAACTAATTAATTACGAGTGATTTTAAATATTTATCATTTTTATATAACATTATTTATGTCTAGAATCTAATAAAAAATGGATACACTTAGAAAAGCTTCCCTGTATATTGCAGTTTGTGTTTAAACTAAATTTGAATCGCGTTGATTTGAAATTTTGCGAAAGCAATGGAAATAAAATTGAACTGGAATTCAAAATTAAGATGGCAAGAGTGCTACGGTGAACGGAAAACGAGCGTGAACGTCGACTCGATGCCAATAGCTAACTTTTTATAAAAGTTTTAGTTTAATTTTTTTCTTAAACGGACATAGTATTCTAGTAAACCTTAATCTAGACAAAAATTATTCTACATAATAAATATTTAGAATAAGTACAAACACTCAGTGTTAGAAGAATAATTTGATAACGATAACAATAAACAATTCGAATAATAAAACTGGTCAGGAAAATTGGGGTACCTTCTTCATTGATCTATGGACTTTACAGAAAAACAGGGTAACTTTATTGCGATGGAAATTCCTAATCACGAAGCAGAAGTATGATCAAAAAGAGATAAATAAACGCCATGCCTCGGTGGGATCGCGCAATTATATAGGCCGGATATCAGATATGGAATTAATACGGAGACAAGCTCTGAGCGCTAATAAATAATAAAAAGTTTTATGATACTTAACAGTATTATGTGCGAAACGATAGAGATAAAAGTGTTAACCTTAAAGGAGAAAAACCAATATTCAAAGTATGTATGCCTTTGTTAAAAATATTTAGTAATTAAAACTTATTGCTTAAAAAGACTTAGTAATCAATTACTTATTAATATAAGTGTGTATGATACTAATTAGTATTAGTGTACAAATGTAACATTTGGGTTAGAAGTATTCTTTTTAACCGACTCCGAACGGAGGAGGTTATCAATTCGATTGGTGTATGTTTTGTTAATCAAGTTTAGTGCTTATGACAAATAGGATGAAAATTTAAACGTAAATTTTACTGCTAGGCATTCTGCCAACTAACGTTAAAGTTTAAAGTACAATAAGCCGCATATCAAAATTGTAACTTCCATGACGGGATTTAAAAAATATGTGTATACATTGTTATAATATATACAAAAGTAATCATTAGATGTTAAACATCCTTCATCCAATTGTCTATAATAATCTTCTGAAACTCCGACCGCAGATAGACCATTATAATGATGTTTATAGCTTTTGGGCAAAAGCATTGGGAATAGTCATCCGTTATTCACTTTAATATTTTTCTATTCGTTAAGATTGGGATTGATTAAAATAGCGAAATAGTGGCAGATAATATTCATTAACTAAAATTTGTTAACTAACGTCTTTTTACATCCGCAATTTTTTGTCATTTTTTGTGGAGAAATCATTTATACATTTGCGATTTTTAATTGACTTCTCCATCTAGCTGTAGGGTACCGCTCATCTCATATCAGTAGTAAGTTGAGGCACATCATAGGACCGTTATTGGTGGAAAAATAGTAAACATTAAAGGATAAAAATTATTTGCCTTTTTGTTGACAACGAAATATTAGTAGTATGCCTATAATATGCCTATAATAGTAGATTTAATTTATTAGGAATTTCTAAAGCATTTCAGATAGGCGCAACAACTTCGACTTGCACGCGTTATCATCACTTCGCAGTAAATCAAGCGATTTCGACAAGTCATAATAAATTATTGTCAAATAATCAAGATATGCATGACTGTAAGGAATATAAGCTCTGAAATCCTTTTTTTCAGTGCATATAGATTATTAATGTAAATAAGTCGAAGGCCGTCACACCGATAACATACAACAGTCAACATTAAATCGAGTTGAATTGCTAAAAGGGCCTTAAATTGAAATCACTCATGTGTATTATAATGTAACAGCTAATTCATCTGAATTCTGAATTTTCTTAGCTATCTAGCTAAGAACCGACAACGCTTCATATCGCAGCGTTAAATGCTAGATTCTATACAAACTTATAATTATTAATATGAAGTAGGTATAAATGTTTATCTTAAACGTAAACGCAGGGAATTTATTTCAAGATTTCTATCCTATATTTTACTTATGATTAAATTGTAACAGAAATTAATACAAAACGATTAAAGGAATCAAGCTCACCCCAAAAATTCCAAACTATGGTAGAAATTTAAAAACTGCCATATTACACGGGGCGGTGCAATAATAAAATAACAGCACGGTTTTTTGTATTAAGTGATTGGAAGTCTTAATTTCTACTAAAAATGTTGTGGACAAATAGTTGTACATAATTTAACTTAAGAAATAGGTCTAATGTTATGCAAATTAATTATACAACATTTATGCCTCATTTAGCATTGCTTACTTCAATTTCATATAAAATAAATAACTATTACATTTTAAGGAGAACAGGAAATACTCGTTGGTATTCCTCATGAATATTTAAAAAAAATCTGTAATTGAATTTATAAACTAATATAAATTAAAATAAAATTAATGGCAATAAAAATTTGCGGTAAGGGAATTATCATTAGGCTCACAAATAGTATGACATTACGTTCTACAAAGTTTGCTTAAATCATGACTGTTCTAATGACTTATTTGGCTAGCAGTTCCAAAGGAAAGTATAAAATCAATGTTTCTTGGCATCCTCCAAGACATTTAGTATTTCACCGAATTTCCTTAACGAAACTGACTGTTCGTGTTTAACTTTTCAATGTGGACAGCAAAAGAAAAAATTACGGCAAGTTTTTCGGTTGAGCTTCTATAGAATATTCAACGAAACTATTAAAGTAAGTTTATGACGTACCTTGCTCGTTCGCGTAAACGTTATTCGCGGAGGGAGGCATGTGGTCCACGTCTAGCACACACCGGTTGCGCGCGGGTACTGTCAAATGAACGCTTTCGGCGGGATTCATGCCGACTGGTTCAGTGTTGTTCTCTCGATAAATCTTGACATTTGGCCTATTTATCGATAAAAGTTATCTATTTACTCCTAAGCCCTGATCAGTAGAAATTCTTTCAACCGACGTGAATATTGGAAATAAAAAGCACTCCCTGAAATAAAAAAAATATACAGTTGCTGTAAAACTTTGCAAGCAATTAATGAAATGGATTGATAAAAATTGAGATTTGTTCTCCCTATTGTTAATTTTCCCTTCCTAGAGATTTTTCAGCAAAAACAGGATGAGGATATCGGCGAAGATCATCCCTAAGCTTGACGCATGCGTAGAGTTAAACTATACGATTGCCGGGTAGACTTACCACGTTGATTGATTCACAAAGTTGTGCGCAGGTTAACTCAACCGGCACATGCCTTAAGTAAAGCATTTCCAACCTCGAAAGACCTTCAGGCCCCGCTATGCTGGTCCAAATCTTGGCGCGACAGGATTACTTAAGAAAAAAAAAAATAAAGGTCCACGTACGTTGGCCGGCTTTATCCGGGCACTTGGCACGAGCGCGTCATTTGTTTTGAGAATGGAATTGAAGCGAAGAGCGTGAATTGCTTGCAATGGAAGTTTATAAAATTATGCGTTGTTTGAAAACCTTTTTAAAATAACTAAATTACTTCATATTAAGTACTTTAAGGTTGTAAACTTAGGATACATTTAAAAAAAAAGTAAACATTTGATAACATGACCAAGTAACGAGTATTATTTTCATACTTGATATTAGCTAGAAATTATTTTTTTTTTTCAAAATTTAATCTTACTTTTGTTAAGATCATAAAGTTCAGATCAGTAAAATATAATTTAAAGAAGCATTATGCAATTTTCAATTTTTAAAATGTTTAATGAAATCGATAACAAATTATAAGAATTTTTATAATGGCATTATCAGAAATATAACTATAATTCTGACTAAAGGGGGATTATATTTGGTATAACGGTAAAACTTAACCCACAGTAGATATTTGTGTATCTCATTATGTTTTACAAGTGGTATATATTTCCTAAACTGGTTCAAAGGTGTTGTTTGTAGGCAGAAAAGTGTCATAAGTAAATATCTTGTTTTTAATAAAAAGTTAGTATCACTTCATAATTTTTGATGATTTTTTACGGCGGTAGGGCTACGCAGCAGCTTCGGCTGTTGCACGAATGGGCAGGCCCGTCCGGGTAAGTACCACGGCTTCACAGAAGACCAGCGTAAAGTGGAAGTATGACAAATAATTTCGCGTTTCGTCTGGTGAGTGAGGTAGCCGGAGCCCAATTTTCAAAAGGATGTCAACGCATCTGTAACCCTGAGGTGTAGCAGGTGAACCGTCTGCTCGTTTGGCAACTTTTCACATAAAAAATTATTTTTTTTTTCACTTTTCGAATATTTTTTTGAAAATATTTTATTAATTTTAAAATTCTAACAACGTATAGTAAAGGTTTTGTATTTGGTATGTCGAAACCTATACACATGACAAGTAGTAAATTTTAATTTATGTATATTTTACTTATAACATTTCATAAGTAAAAATAAAATAGAGTACCTGTGCCGCACTGTGTTAAAACTTGGCACCAAGATTTCTTTTTGTGGCTCAAGGGTTTGAACGAGGTCACTCGAGAGTAGTGAAACGGCGAGCAACCAGGCACTGAGCTACTACGGTTCAATTATAAGAGGGAGCAAGGAAATCTCTACGGTATATTCAGCCTCATTCTTGGCTAATAAATTACTTTCTTTGATCTCCATGTAGCACACACATTATAGAAAGTACGTATAATCTACCTGCTGGCCATTTCAGCACACTACCCCTTTTTCTAGTTAATCTACTCATCGTTTACCTAGTTACTTAACGTAACAAGTTTTATAACATGTTGATTTACATCAAAATGAAAAAGTTTTATTGCTTTGAATAAACAAATTTTACAGAAAAGACTTCTATTTATTGACGGTAGTCCCAATGTGCAACTTCAAAGCTTACTAGAATATTACGCTGAAACAATACGATGGATATTGGCAATATGTAAACAAACTTACCGGTCGAAAAATAAAGCGAGCTTCAAAGGAATACCTTGAAACTGAATTTGTTGTGCTCGACTTCCCTGACGATGAGACGACTATGGCAATCGACAGGATCAAACAGTAACGTAACCACACCAGAACACACTGCACTCGGTGCGGAAAACATATACTAGGTTCCGCCTCGTACCTGGCAGGTTTTCATTCGTTAATGATAGCCTTTATGATAACAGTGAGTTGCTAGAACGTCTTAAACAACATTGATTTTGATTTGCAATTAGTCACTGATTAACGAACAATCAACAGAAAATCGATTTTCTGAAAGCGTTTTTCGGTGGTCAATGCTGTCAAAAGTTTTATTAAGTAATCTGTCAATTTGGACGATCAATCGTTGGTTAAAAATGTTATTTAACAAAAATCTTAGTTTTTATTAAAAATAAACATAATTCCTTAATACGTTGTTAGGACATTCATGTGTTCTATTACCTATTTATTATTTATTATTATGCGAAAATATCATGTGATTAGAAAAAATACAAAATGCAATTCAAAAGTTAATAAATAATATGGATTCTTTCTTTTTATAATACTTACTTGTTTATTATGGATAAAAGTTCATTTTTTTCACGTTCTATAAAGTTTTTTTTTGACATTTTGCATGTATTTATATAAGTTAAATTTTATTATAGCTCGGATTTTTACGTTGGCAATCACACGGTGACAGGACTGGATAGTGACGTTAATTTAAGTTTTGTTTAAAAAGGGACAGCTATACAATAGAAAGAGTTAGTTGAAGTAAATCATTCATTTCATTAATTATCATTGGTTATACAGTGATTAGCTAATTTTTCTTGAACAAACCTTCCAGAAACCCAAGGCAGTTTAACAGGAGATTAACAGCTGATCATTTTTGTCATTGTGTTATGTGATTACTGCTTTGATTGGCCTTTCGGAAACTGGGCATAGGAGTGTTAAAGCTGATTTTTTTTCTACTTTCGGATTGCAAGTTGCAAAAACGGTTTGCGAGAGAATTTTTATTTGCCAGTTCTGAGCTTATATCAGAAAAGGGTACTTTCTTTACTTTAACTTTCTTTCAATTCGTAATAAGCATTCAGCAGAGTTTGAAAACTAAAGAGCTGTAGAGAATTTTAATTGAATTGTAAGCGTTCATTAATGGGGGATTTTTCGCCACGGAAATAAGTTTTTTCAGGTGTTTCGAAAATTATAGAGTGATATGTTAGGAACATCGGTTTACATAATACATTTATATTACGAGCTCCAAGACCAGTATAAAGTGGAAGTATATCTTCGCATTTCATCTGGTGACTGAGGTAACCGGGGCCTACTTTTTAAGGGTCAACGCATCTGCATGCCTTCGGGTGTTGTAGATATCTATGGGTGGCGGTATTTACTTAATATCAGGTAAAAAAAAATTCCAGGCATATACTAATACATTATATTGAATGCTTATTATTTATGGCGTCAATGCAATTTGTTAGGTTGCAAATTTACCGGCTTCAAACAAACAAAGCATTAAAAATAAAGAAATAATTTCCAAAAAAAGCGCAGCCGCAGATAAATAATTACTGATAGAGAGTTAATATCTTCTTCGGAGCCATTGACATTTTTAAGGAAAACCATTCAAAGTAAATAATACTGTGGTAACAAATCATTCACTCGACATTTGTTATTTTTCCTTGTGTTTACCGCATAACTCTCATTTTTACTAAATAAATTATTACTCTCTAATTTTGCTAATAAATCTCTGGTTGTTAATGTATTTATATGAACGATTTCGGTTTCACAACTTACTTATAACTATTTCATGAGTATTAGAAATTCATGGGTTCAAATAAATGTAAATCAGGTACCAAGATTAATTGTTCATAGCCGAATTAAAAGTCAATGACATACTTCGTAATCATAATCACTTTATCGCAAACAAAATCACATATTTTTCTAAATGCAAGTTAAATTAAGATGAACATCTTAGGATTAATTTAAAAAGTTGTACCGTGAAGCGTCCTTAAGGACACTCCGTGGAGTCCCCTACAGAGGAAATTGAATTATAATGCGACCCGAGAAATTTTGAGGAAATTTTCAATGCTTTGTTTATTAAAGCAATGGATTTCACTTTATGTTTTAAAGTGGATAATACTTGTAATTCAAACAAATATATTCTATTTTCCAGCAATTAGCACCGCCAATGCTTAATATAGTCAATACATGTATGCAAGTGTCCTTAAAAAGGCCAATGAGAAGAATAATTATAGTGTAGTAGCAAAGGCAATGAGGTAATACCTTATTAGTTTTAAGTCTCAGCACTTATCTTAATAAAATTGGATATTTATTGATTTAAATTTCATGCACAAAAAAAATATTTGGGCAAAGGCGGACTTAATGCCAAAGGCATTTTCTGCTAGTCAACCTAATGGATGATCCAGAGAAGTTGAGATAGTTGCAAAAATAATCTTTAACAATAGAAACGAATACATGTAATTTAGAGACTACTTATACACAATGAACATCATAACAGTGGGATAGCTGGATATAAAATTACATAAACATATGATAAACTTGCAATTTTCACATAAAAAAGAGAAAATATATACATACATACGTGAAATATTTATGTGTATATTTATATCAGAGGAAAAGATCAGAATTTTTGTATTTATCAGTTATAATTCATTTATTGTGTTCTGTATTATTTAATCCCAATTCTCCTTATACCTTAAGGATACCTTCCATAAACCAACTTAAGATTCACATTCCTCAACATAATACAGGGTACTTCAAGTTCTCTTTTACTGTTCAAGCTACACTCCTCTGGAACGCAGATATATTCCCTATAAGATAAAACAGCTCCAAATAAGTAAGTGTTCAAAAAATTAATTCGAGAATACTTGTACCGTTGACTTTATTTCACTTATATGTATTTAGTAGCCGGAGGACCGAGCTTTGCTCGGTT